CTTTTTCAGCTTTGGAGTTAGCATGCTGTTTGCAACTGAGCAAGCAATTACTCTAGTATACTCTAGACTTGTAGAGTCCTTTATGAGCTGCTGGTAGAAGACACAAGCATGGACACACCTTCCCTGCCTGAAGCTAGGTCTCCCAGTTCGCCAAGTCTTAGACAAGGCTTTTGGACAAAAGGCAAGAAACCTTGGAGCAGGAGCATGGCCACCAGTTGCTGGGAAGGGCAGTGGCAAGTAAGACCTTGCCACATGTCCAACAGAAATAAGAGTGTGAGATGGTTTTGCCTCCAGAGAAAATAATCTTAACAGAGGCAGTGAGAGGCAGTAGCTGGAAACTTGGGAGAGGTGTGCTTTATGGGATGGTAAGATCCACATCCTCTGTGCCTTCAACTCAGAAGAGCCACAGAGAACAAGAAAAAAAGCACTCCAGAAAAAAAGCTAGAAAATAGAAGAAGAAAAAAAGAGCCAGACTGCAGCGGCATTTCATGGAAGCTAAAACTCACACACACACTTCAGAACAGTCCACCAAGACAGAACCTGCTCTAGAACCTACAAACAACCGCAAACCTACTCTAGAACCTACAGAGTCTGCCCTAGAACCCTCAACCAACCCCGAACCTGCTCTAGAACAAACTGATGAGCTGGAACTCACTCTAAAACCAACCGCCCTGCTCTAGAACCACTGGCAAGCTGGAACATCCTCCAGAATCTCCCTTCCCACTTGGAGACCAGCCGTTGATCCAAACACCGCTTGAGGAAGATCCCTCATCTCCAACTCCACAATTCACATCCCTTCTAAAAACCACTGCTGCCATCACCACCATGGCCTACAAACAACCATCCCCTGAACCCCCCAAGTTGGGAACCCACCCACTGTACAACCAATCATAGTTCTACAGACCCCTGAATGTAGAGCACCCCAGCAACAGCAAGAACGTCACTTTCTGACTTCAGCAGAGCCTTGCCTGGTAAAAAGGCAGCTCATACCCACAATACACTGTGTGCTCACAGTCTCTGCCAGAAAAGTAACTAGCACCATCTCAACATGTTCCCCAAGAAAAGGAGCTTCCACCAGCTCAACATGGACAAATGTGGCCAAAAACCAGTACCAAGATCTCAAACAATGCAGAGCCACCAAGACGATTAAAGGAGTGGGGCATCTCCCTTATGAGGAAAGGCTGAGGGAGCTGGGTCTCTTTAGCTTGGAGAAGAGGAGACTGAGGGGTGACCTCATTAATGTTTATAAATATGTAAAGGGCGAATGTCATGAGGATGGAGCCAGGCTCTTCTCAGTGATGCCCAATGGTAGGACAAGGGGCAGTGGGTGTGAGCTGGAACACAGGAGGTTCCGCTTAAACTTGAGAAGAAACTTCTTTACAGTGAGGGTGACGGAGCCCTGGAACAGGCTGCCCAGGGAGGTTGTGGAGTCTCCTTCTCTGGAGACATTCAAGACCCACCTGGACACCTTCCTCTGTGATCTCATTTAGGTGTTCCTGCTCCGGCAGGGGGGTTGGACTAGATGATCTCTCAAGGTCCCTTCCAATTCCTAACATTCTGTGATTCTGTGAAACATGACTCCCCATACCACACAATTTAGACTGAGAAAGTGCCGTACTGCTTCTGCCCAAGCCTCACTCAGCAAGCCACCAGCAGGCCAGCTACCCCCATCATAGCATGCCTCCTCAAGGCTGCCACCTACACCAGGTATACCAGGCTGAAATGCTGCTCATCCACAGGAATCCGGCTTCCCTGCTGCACACTGGCCTCACAGTTCCCAAAGACCCTACAGATTCCTAGACACGCCACGAAGCACAACAGTGCAAAAATACACAGTAGCGTTCTTGCACATGGACAGCACTAAACACCTTATACATGTCTGCTCAGGTCAGCATCAGCCCGATGCCCCAGGCAACAACTGCTCTCAAAAGGACATCTGCACTGAAAGCACCTAACAGTGGCAGCAAAGATGATCATTTTAGGGCCTCCTCAGCAACAGGGGACTTCTCAGTAGTCAGAGGAACACAAATACCTTACATCCACTTGCTCCTCCTCTGCTATCAGTTCTCTTAACTGACAGCTCCTGTCTTCTTACAAGTGATGAGATTCCTTGCCAAGCCTCTACTTGCACAACTTTGTGGATTCGGTAAGTGTACTTGACAAAGACCTGTCACCTACAGGTAACCGTTACCCAACAATTTTCAAAGCATCTCATAATGTCTTCTCCTCATCTAACAGCAGGTGGCTGCCATCTTCTTCCCACAAGACTCTGCTCTGAGCCAGAACAGCTACATGAAGGGTGGTATCACTGGATGCTCCTTCACCACCAAACTCAGGATAATGGGTGTTCACATCTGATATAAAACACAGTGATATCTGTTCTGCTAGAACTGCTCTGAGGGCTTGTTTGTTTGGGTAGAGAGAAGGAAAGGCTTTCCAGGCAAACCAGTTTCCCAGTTTCATCCACAGCATCAACATCATCTTGTGTGTGCTGTCTAATGCAAAAGCAGGAACAAGCATCTGTGAGAAAGTAACGGGCTGCGTAAGCCGTCATCCTACAGTTACAGATCCTAAGAATACTGAAACACGTCTGGGGAAAAAGAATGACTAATAATTACTAAATCATTACTTAAGTTTGGAACTAGCTAACAAAACAGTTAAAAACTGGTATTGGACAGTTTCAAGCCCTTATACCCAAGTTTTCTCTTCAAAGCATTATATACATACCTGCTTCAATCTGTCGTAATCTAGACCTTCTGACTGTACTCCATTGGCACTGGGTTGCCCTGTTGGTGTAGATTTTGGTCTGCAGTACAAAAAAAACCCACATCCATGAATTACTGATCACTCATTATTACAGGATACATAGGACTTCTCCATCAAACTTGCTAACATTCATCTATCAAAAGCACAGTAAAGAACCAGAATGAAAAAAAAAAATGTTGTGGAGGGAAGGGGTGGGAAAATCATTCAGACCCAAAATACCACACAGAATAGAAAGCAACAATGAAAACCACTTTCCACATACTGGAAATACTGTGTGAATATGAGTTATTAGCTCACAACAAAAACTCTTCAACAGTGGTTTCTGGTTTTTTCATAATGGGCATGAAAAGCTGAACAAATGTCAAATACTTTCTCTTCTCCCTTTTCAGTTGCTTGCTCATTTCCCAAGAGGCCCTTCTCAGAGAAACACTCCCCCTAACTAATGACTACGTGTTGACGCTGCGACCGTAAGAATGCTGTGTAATCGCCTGGTAGATTTTCAACCTTTGACTAGGACAAGGCGGAGCAATCTTATTTAACTTCCTTCCAACCTAAATTATTCCATCAATTGCTTTCTAAAGCTACTGAAAGCAAACACTGTTAACAGCAGCAAAATTTATAAGGTAATACTTGAGAGGAAGTTCTGGTGGTTTGGACTATGTGATGTTCAGGGTTTGCTTATGTAATACTCTCCTAAGACACCTAAATCTTGCTTACCAAGTTTATCTTGCATTTTTAACACACATTCCAGAAGAAGCAGGTTTTCTACATTCTTACTTCTCTTTCCTGATTCCCTCTGTTTAAAGAGGGTATAACTCAGACTCATGTACTTACTACACTTCCATGGGGCCTTGCACTACCCACAGCTATGAGCAGAGACAGAACCTAGATGCTAACAGCAATACAGAAACAGTTCTCCAAAGCAGGGATGGATAGATAGGTGGTGTGGGACAAAGAGGGAGGAATGTTCTGCTGCTCTTAACTACTTTTTAAATCTTGGCTAACATTCTCTCCCCATTACTCCGCAACATGTTAAGCCAAAAGAAGTTGATAAAATTGCTGACAGTTCATGTCAAGAGGTTTCCACAATTTTAGAATTATCACATTATGCTAACATTAAGGAAAGGCAGGGTATTAGTAGACTAAACTGGGTCCTATTTTGTTGTCCTTGTACATGAGTATCACTGAACAAAAAAAGCCTGGCCTAAACTCCGTGTTTCGCTTCAAAATTCTTACATAGGAGGAATTCATTAAACATTTCATTTTTCTGGATTCATTACCTGAAGGTGCAGCCTTATTTATTACGATGGAAGGTGTCCAGGAACAAAAAAAGGCAAACCAGCAGAAAAGGCACAGTTCTGCACTCTATCTTCTCTCAAATACACAGTATAAAACTCTCTCTTTTTCAGAATAAAGCAGAATGTGTGAAGGACACAAGCAGTACATCTATTGCTTTTTTTTACCCATTTATTTATTTATTTTTAATTTAGCTAACACAAAAAAAGCTGTGTTCTTACTCAGAAGAAAAAGAATAGTGAACCTATATATGTGTGTGTGTATATATATATATA